AATTTTTTTCCCGTTTTCCCTTTAATGCATCAACATTTTAACATTGTGTTGTGTATTTTTTATTTAGTTATCTGGTCATGTATCCCCAGGCCTTTCAACCAACCACAAACAATGTTAGCTTTAATTTTAAGGAAATAATAAAAGGCGTAAGAGGGCAAAGAGTGCATGCTGCGTAGGGAATGGACTGTAGATTGTAATGGTATGTGATGGCTTTACCACAGAGGTCAGCTGTGGTTTTAACAAAACCTTAGGTGAACAGAACAGTAATATGGCTACCGAAAGGCCACAGAGACCCTGCCCTCATTTTCATGTATTTATAGATTTTCTTTTTCTTCACTTTCCACACTTCCACAACCAACAACCAGTTTCTCTCCAATAATCTTGTAAATCTTTTCATACTGTGACATAAAATTGTTACAGGATATGATCTTTATGTAGAGAGGCTGTTAGATGAGCTTAAAGGGGTGTTTTCGGTTATTATCAGCACAAAATTCTTGGTGTTGAAACTGAAATTATGCAAATGTACATTTAATTTTCCCCAATGAAGGTTAAAATCAAGGGCAACTGGACTTGGTTGAAGATGCTTGAAGTCTTTACTTCTTTAATTCTGACAGGTAGAAAAACTCAGCTATTTAACCTCTGTGGGTCATTGTTAAGATGATCGATACCGCTGGTTCGTTAGTGCTTCTGGATATTGTAACAACAGTCGTTAGGGCCGAGGCCAAGTCCCTCTGAACGACCCTTGTTGGCATTCTCACCTAAAGCTTGATTTATACTCCTGCGTAGGGTCAGGCATTTATACTTGTGCGTTGGTGTATCCGTCATTCTGCAATTACACCCTCAAACGCTAGTTGGCAGTAGCGCTACAGCGTCCACTGTATTGACTTTTGCTGGCCTTTTGCGGGCTAACTTCCGGTTTAGCCCTCCGCTAACGTTAATGGGGGTAAAATTGTCTACGTGCGGCTGGTATTGTCTTTTCAAATATTATAGACCAAATGGATCACATTCTCATAGTAAAACAATTTTGCGCGGCTTGTGACGGTCAAATATATTTATAATATTTATCCACCGTGTTACCGCCGCCGTTTTGGCCGCAAGTAAAAGTTAGTACAAAGCATGGGGCACTTCCAGTCGACTCGGAGGCATTGCGAGGCTACCCAGCTGACCAATCACAGTGCTTACAGTCCACGTCGACATGTAGTTACATTTTTGAGGAGGTGCACGGCAGGCAACGTTGTAGCCTCTGCGTAGCCCCGTAGCCTACGCCGTCAGTTTTGACGCGGAAGTAAAAATTACACTTATGGCCAAACGGGTCGTTCATACCGTTGATACCAACGACAGGTCATTCCCATCTCAGTTACAGCCCTACCCTGGTCTTTTCACCTAATGATCTCATTACCACCTATAAAAGGAGACATCTTTATGTCAACAATGTTTTGTTACACCTCCACTCCACTGGAGCCTGCAAGAGATATGGATAAAGAGTGGTACAGAGAGGAAGAGGATTCTGCATGCGCGGTGGTGTAAGACAACAGCAGAGATGACCAAGAGCTGTAGTCTCTGATGACATTGGGGCTACTGTGGTAACCAGATAATCAACCATGGACTATCATTGAAAGACTCTGGTCTCAGAGAGCAGCCATACGTGGCATCAATTGACAGAATCTTCAAGTGACCCAACAGGTAAAATATGTATTCTGAAAAGGCATAACTGCATATTACCAAAATTAAAATCTATTGCTTGTGTGTAATTCTTTATTTCTTCTTTAGGACCCAACGACTAATCCCCACAGGGGGGATTTCTTTTAGAGAGTCATGGAGCTGGAAGCCCATCACACACACCATGTTTTTATCTATGTGGACTTGGCCAAAACACACCGGTAAGGACAGAATTTGATTGGTAAAAGAGTGGGTGTCCCAGGCCAAAGGGGTACCAATGTTACCACGTAGTGATATCCTCCGATGGTGTGCTGCTGCACATATGTTGTTTTTTGAGCAAACATTTACAGTGCTGACTTTTGTGACTTGTTTTACTTGCAATTTTCATTTACTGTAGTTTATTTTTGAGTTACTTGATGGTAAAGATGAAGTACACTGAAGCCTTTCCCATTTTCCTCTTGCATTTTGATATCTTCCTTTTGATACTGTTGTACATTCTATAAAGACTTACCATTCTTACTGTATTTCATAATGGTAACTTTATTTACTGTAAAATAAGACAATGTACACATTTCTTATACTATCAACAATAAAGATAGTAATGTAATGCTATCTGTTGTTAGTGTTTTTTAGGTATTTGTGTTATGAGTGACAATGAGTGTTGCTGTTGGAGAGAACTACAGCTGGTGTATTTGTAAAATTATTTGAAATTTAAACAAGTATGCAGTGTTTTGGTAGTTTTGGTGCATTTTGGGTGTGCAATTAACGTGCAAGCTACTAAAAAAAAAAAAAACTAAAAAAAAACTGTAATATACATTATAACTAGGTTACATCTGAACTTACACACAGTTGGTGCAACAGGTTGCAGGTCCATGAACATTAATTCTGATTTAACTAATCCCAATAGCTACATGTGTGTTATGTTTGGAGCTAAACCGGGGAGATGGTTGGCCTGAAGCTTAAACTGCGATAACGCTAGCTCGGCTTTCTAAAGCTTACTATGCTGAATCGTTTTGTAAAATCCATACACAAACAGAAATAATATGCATTTTTAGGGAGAGTTACCCACTTTTTTTTTTTTTTTAAATAAAAGTTTATCCATCTCCCTGTGACTGTGCGCCTCTTCGGTCATAATGGAGATTGTCAGCTATGCAGCATATGGTAACTTATAGGTCTCTGTACAGGTCAATGGTACCACATCTGGCAACCTCACTGTATTGACACAATTCCCAGGAAGTCACTGCACCCGACTGTTGATCGCCAAGAAATTGCTACAGCCCGTACATTAACAAGTAAAACCACAAATTGTGTTACTTTTGTGTATGAATTAAGCAAAACAACACACCCTGTGTTAGTAATAATTACCGAGCTTTAGAGGTGTTGGTATAACGTTAGTTATTTTTTTAACTGGACAGAGCCAGGCTAGCTGTTTCCCTGTCTTAATGCTAAGCAAGGCTAATTGCCTCCTAGCTCCAGCTTTACATTTGAAGCACAGACATCAGTGGTATCGATGTTCTTATTAACTCTTGAAAAGATTTTTTTACAACTCAAACCTCAAGTGTTGAACACAAACATTTTCCAGGCTTGAAATATTCAGTGAATTTAAATGAAAAGTAATTGCTAACAGATATTCCACAACAAAGATATTCTGCCACAGTTGAGTGACGATGTTAATTTTAAAAACGTTCTCTGGTCTATAATGATCTCTATTCTTAGCATCAACCAATCTATAGGCACAAACCAAATCTAAAAACAATGCAACAAGCTATTAGTGTGCAACTAGCTTGAAACAGGAGAGCTATTTCCAGTGTGTTTGAGCTGCCATGCAGTATTCCTTCTATTCCAAGCAGTATGTGTGTTTATGTGTGTCAGAGGGTTATAAAAATGCTTTATGGCATCTCCTGGAACAGTGACCTTTACAGAAAACCACTGATCTGTTCAAAACAACATGATACACTGTGTGCATGGGTATGTGTGTGCACAAAATGTTATGTGTGCTCATCTATTACGTGTGTGTGACATGACGTACAGCCAGTAACATTCTATCCCACCAGCCATCATTAACTGTGATGCACAGCCAAATGTCGTTATGTATGGTCGACTGGTTGATTTACTGTTGGAGATATAATGGAGTGGCTACTGTAATGAACTTGCTGAGTGTTTGATGTACGGATCTCTGCTGGAGGGAGAGAAGTAAATACTACGACCCTGATGACAACGATTGCAGTGACGATTGTTGATGATGATGATAAAATACCCCTCTTCACTTGCAGATGCCAGTGACATTTCTGGAGGGAGAGGATAAAGGGGAGGAACAACAAGTAGAGGATGGAGAAAGCAGTTTGAGGAGATGGAAGAAGAGGAAACAGAGAGGAGGGAAGGAAGGGGAACAATTATATTCTTCTGCTGCAGCAAACGTTGATGTTTTGACATCCAGCCACTGCTGGAGGGAGACAGTGAGTGCTGATGATGATGATAATCAATGATGATGACAGTGATGATGGAGAAGTTCACACAGACTTTAAAGTATTTTTTTGCAGAGATCTGTGAAGCCACATGGTGTCCTTGTGGTCAAACTGGAACACCCTGCAGGACAACATACACCCTGCCTTAGTGTCCTTGAGCAGTGCTGTTCTGAATGGGAGTGTGTGAAAAGAAAATTCCCCTTTCTGAGATCAAAAAGTATTACACTGCCACTAAAACAATTTGGATGGGTAGGAAGACGTTACGGGTGACAATTTAAAGGTGAATCAAGAAAAGGAGGGGAAGAAAGAAGACGAGGAAAATGGAGCAGGATCATAAAGGGCAAAAGGGGGGAAAAGTCAAAAAGATGATTACTGGGAGGTATTTTTCTGATCAATAGAGCTAAAAACAAAAACACACAGGGTGGGATTCAATTTCTTACCTCTAGCTAATCACTACTGATGCAATGTTATTTTACACCAGTATAAAAATGTTATTTGCTTTACTTATTGCTGATGTATTTGTGTACCTGAACTGAAAATATGTATAATTCTGATGTTTAATCATGGTATACACAGCCCCAGAGTCCACAGTGACAGACTCTCTTCTTTTGCACAGTCTGACTCTGCCCTCTAATGGCACACAGTCTAAACTACTTTCTTGAAGAATTCTACCCATTTTTCGGGCTCACTTAACCGAAATGTTAGGCTGACTTGGCTAGATGTCATCTAAGCATTATGATTTTAGTTAAATCTGACTACCTCACTATCAGTCTAGATGTAAGCAGAGCTACTGGAACATGAACAAAGTGCCTCATAGAATTCAGGCAGAAATCAGACAGATGAAATCATGTATTCAATGAGACAGGAATGCAATTATGGAATGGAAACCCATGTAATATGGAGTTTATTGCATGATGTACTTCAAGCACAGTTTTTACTTACTTACTTACTGTAAAAAATAAGAGCACGGACTGAACAGATCTTTGATTTAATGAATGATACACGTGTAGACAAAATACATCCCCTTGTGTGTGTAAAAAAAAAAAAAAAAAACATAGGAAGAGTGGATGTTCCTTCATTTTCAATTTAACAAACAATATGGACTTTTTGTCTGGTGGACTTTTCCCTTAAATGTGTCTTGTGTCCTCTTTGCAGCCGCAGAATGGAAAGGTTCCACAGCAAGGCTGAAGCCAGGGTCTCCACAGAATCTTGTCCCATGTCATTTGGCTTTCAACAGTGTGCGCATCTGTGTTGGAGTGTGAATGAGCATCATCCGGCTCGTTTGCGAGGGTATTCCGGTGTCTCTCAGCAGCTTTGGCAGTCTGCTCGAGGATTTCAGCGTATCGCGGCTCAATATCAGGGGTAAGCGGGCGAGACTCTGACGGATCGTGGAAAAGGTCATACATGAGAGGTGGGTTGTGGTGCGTCACATGCTCTCCGTGACACATACAGACCTTAGTGTCATAGCATCCACCAGCTCCCGGGGGAGAAAAGTTTGGAGTGAAAAAGTGCACCTTGAAGACAGAGTCACCTGGATGGAAACACACACCAGGGAACATGTGAACATGCACATATCAAGTATATTCTGAGGGAGGTTAAAGCTCAGTAAAACTTTTGCAGATTTTACTTCTAATTTTTGATTTTCAGTATGACTGGTCCAACAGAAATGGTTCTGATTTATAACTGGTCTAATTTTAAAAGAACTGATTTGTTAAGAAATAGTAAGGTCATCTGTCATGACAAAGTTTTTAACCACACCAAGCTATAAGAAGGCAATGTTGACATCCACAATCGTAGTGGTACGTCTATGTCAGACTAAATCTGCTGGAAATAAAGGCATTTTTTGCATTCAACATCTTTAGGTATCTCTACTTGTCAAATAATATGTCAAGAATAAGATCAGGATTCAACAATACATGGAGTTGAAAAGCAGAGCTGGACTTTGAACAGCTAATATCTAAACAATAGCAAATCCCTCATCAGATTTATTTAAAACAACTAAACCTACAGAATAAGAGTTACACTAGGGGGCTGCACTCATTGACACATATCTTAATATATGCAGTTTCCAAGCTAGTCTTTGTTGTTTTTACTTAAGTATTAAGATTTTACTTTAGCTCTATTCTCTGGTATTCTATTAGATAGTTTGATTTCATTTTCACATCAGCACAGGTGCCTTTTTATGCAGAAAAAACTACAGACTTCATAACGGTCAAAAAATATTTGTCTGCTAGATAACTATATGCATCTCTGTGTGAACTTACTTCCAGTTGGGTGCCAGCGTACTGCATTCAGGTAGATTCCACAGTAGTGGAACATGAATTCATGCTCTGATCGCTCTACCTTCCCCTCCAACAATGGCATGAGGTTATAGCCGTCTAACTGTCTGGAAGAAAAAGGTGCAATTGGAGAAAGAGAGAGTGGGAGAGGGAAAAGGTGGAATATAAAGAGAGCATTACCACAACTCTACATGCAGAAAGAGACACTAGACTTTTGATTTCACCTACAATCCTTGCTAAATTTCCTGAATCTGTGTCCACACAGAAGCCTTTGCCAAAACAAAAGTCATGGCTGTTTACAGATAATGACGTGCTCCTGGATCCACATTGTGATCATCTGGCTAGAAAACAAATGAATTATTATGCTCATGTTCATAGTCTTTGTCTCACCTCTTTTTGTAACTCTAAACAATAGCTTGGCGTACTACTGAATTCAACAAATACAGAAGCTTGTCAGCATTCCCAAGAATAAAACAAATGAGACTCAGTGAATGATAGCACACACAATACAAAGAAGGCACCCATTTCAGCCAGTCTTTACCTGTCGGGTTGAGTGTCCTTGGCCAAATATTTCAGCGTTGGATACAGGTCCATGAGGCTAGTGGGTTCATCTACTACTCTTCCAGCTGCCAGTCTGCCAGGCCAGCGGAAAATACCAGGCACCCTGATCCCCCCCTCCCAGCCCCCCATAGCTTTCCCACCTATAGGTGAGAAATATCACAAGACCAGTATCTGTATTTTTTGCAGTAAATGCAGTAAAAAAAGATACAATCTTTGTATAATTGTCATTTAACCAAGTTAGACTTATGTTAATGTTTTATCAACAGTTCATATATGTTTTGAGACTTCGAATACCAATGAAACTGCTATAATTACATCAAAGATTGCAGTGAATGTAAATATCATTAAAAACAGTGTAACATGATATCTACCTTTATAGACGCCATTCCAGCCTCCTTTCTGGCCGATTAGCGAATCAGCATCCTCCAGGTATCCACCATGGTCTGATGTAAAGTACATCAGAGTATTGTTTGCCAGGCCGAGGGAGTCCACCGTCTCTGTCATCTTACCTACGAAACATATTAAATAAAGCATTAGAGGTGGTTAGGCAGTAAAGAGATCAATTGAGAGTTCTGCTCTGACTTTACTCTGTCTTATTTTTCGTAGTATGTCTTTTAGTGGTCACCATAATTTTGAAATGCCACACATACAGAACAGTGTTATACGTAGGTGACCCAGTGATGATGGGATGTTTGCTCCTTCGTGAAATGTTGCACTGTGTTGGCGGCCAATCAGACCAGTTTAGACCCTCAAAACAGAGTAAATAATGTTTGTAAACGATGCATGCCAATATTAGCACATTAACTGTATAGCCAATCTCTCACCGATGAGCCAGTCCACTTCTTCTAGGTTGTCACCATAGCGACCATGGCGACTTTTGCCAGCAAATGCGGGGGTTTTGAAGAGTGGCGTGTGGATATGTGCCAGTGAGAATAAGAGGAGGAATGGACGATCAACATTCCTGAAGAGGAGAGATGATAAAGGATAAGGCAATAACACTCTAAGCTACAAATTTTAAAAAACTGTTCACTGACCAGCTGTTTTTACCAGCTGAAATTACTTGAAAATTAAACAAGTATTTTTGTTTTTTAGAAGAAACAAATTGTGGGATGAGTGCTACAAAATGGGTAGGCAAGTCTGAAAATACTGAGAGAGATAAAAATGTTGATTTTGGGTCTTTTTATGGAATTTGTTGATTGACAGTACGAAAAAGCTATTTTTTCACCATAAAACACTAGAAAGAAACACTAATGAGGCTCAATCAGCTGCATGCATGTGATGAAACAGGACTACCCAATACAAGTCCAGTTTCACAATTTAAGATGTTTCTGTAGACACATAAAATATGAAACTGCTTTGATCAGACATATTTATACCTCTTTATAAAATTTTGTGCTTCTCCCAGCAACCTCTGGGGCAGTGTCTCCACCGTCATTGGCTGCTCGATCACTTCTTGGTTCCTCATGATGATGCAATTCCAGGTGGGCAGGAGTTCAAAGGGTATATACCACACAGCGGTCGCTAGGATAGTAAGAAAACAAAGTGCTACCAGGAGCCAGAGGCTGACGTCCAGGAGGCCACACACATGGGCACACACCTGCACACACACACACACACACACACACACACACACACACACACAGTGGGTTTAGAAAGAAAGCGCACACACACTAAATGAAACTACTGCCGTACAGTACACAGCTAGATGCCTGGGTTTAGAGGTTTTGGTTTCAAAAATTCAGATATATAGATCTCTCGATAGATAGACACTGAACAAAATTATAAACACTTGCTTTTGCCCCCCCATCATGAGCTGAACTCAAAGATCTAAGACTTTATCTATGTACACAAAAGGCCTATTTCCCTCAAAACTTGCGACATCTGTGGCATTGTGCTGTGTGATGGAACTGCACATTTTCAAGTGGCCTTTTATTGTGACCAGCCTAATGCCGTGTTCCAGACCGCTCGGAACTGGGAAATTTCCAACCTCTAACTAGAAAAAGTACTATGGAACACCACTTGAAGTCGGATTTCCTACTTGTGAAAATATGTACCCCGACTTCACGAGTAGCAGCTGCATTACGTCACAAAACAATGCCATGGAGACACACACTGTAAATGGTAAACCAAAGCCAACAAAAAGTACATTTGCATGTATGTAATTTAAATTAAAATCATAAATTTACAGAATCACAAAAACTTTATTGATCCCAGAGGGGAAATTCTTTTGTCACAATTGCACACTTGTCAAAGGTAGATAGATAAAGAGTATATAAATATAATAGTATAAATAAAAATGTAAAGACAAATATAAAGGTGTGTGGAACCAAAAAGTACTAATGAATAAATAGCTGCAGAGAATATTGCACATTAATTATTAAACAGGTAATATTGGACAGAAAATAGATAATGAAACACGATCATATAGTAAAACCTGTTCCGCATGTACACTGATGTACAAATATGTTAGGCCTATTAGGTAGCTGGCTACAGTAAAGAATCTCATGTGTCATCTTCTCTGCATAAAAGTTATTGTTAAAAATGCCAAAACATTAGGAAGTGTAATTTACAACACTGACTGACTTGAGGGTTACCAACTGATGTAGCTAGAGATGTACACATTTAACTAGTAACGTAAAGGCTATTTAGATCAGAAGAAGGAGCGTTATTGCCAAGTAGTGTTTTACACATACGAGGAATTTGCTGTGGTGATAAGGTGCTACACGTAGACAAACATACAGTCAACATAAATAAATGTGGAAATATATAAATATGGAATTGAAGAAAAACATTGCAGATATATACACATGTGCATTATTCTGGTTCTGGGTCTGTGCCCTGCAGAAGTAACGTAACGGAAGAGAATATTGTGTACATAAATATATAAACTGACAACATAAAAATATACAACAAAGATCAACAATCAGCAACAAATATGTGCGACGTGCCAGTTCTGTGCCCGACACAAGATGAAACAGTATTTACATGTCCAGAGACATTTGTATCGTTTGCAAGGGGGGAGTGTCAGTGGGGGACCCGGGACTTGTTAATTAGGCTAGCTGCAGACGGGAAGAAGCTGTTTTTGTGGCGAGAGGTTTTAGTCCTGATGGACCGAAGCCTCCTGCCAGAGGGGAGAGTCTGAAACAGTTTGTGTCCGGGGTGGGAGGAGTCAACTGCAATCTTTCCTGCTCGCCTCAGAGTCCTGGAGTCATACAAGTCCAGAAGAGAAGGATGATTGCAGCCAATCACCTTCTCTGCAGAGCGAATGATGCGCTGCAGCCTGCCCTTGTCCCTGGCAGCAGCGTATCAGATGGTGATGGAGGAGGTGAGGAGGTGAGGATGGACTCAATGATGGCGGTGTAGAAGTGCACCATCATTGTTTTTGGCAGGCTGAACTTCTTCATCCTCTGCTGGGCCTTCTTGGTGAGAGAGATGATTTGACTTGAGGTCCTGGGAGATGATGGTGCCCAGGAAGCGGAAGGAGTCCACAGTGGCGATGGGGGAGTCACAAAGGATGATGGGGGAGGGTTTAAGTCAGTTGTTGCAGTTAAACTGCCATCCTTTGAAGTAACACCTAAAACACTGCTGAAAGTGCAACTGTGTGTACACTTTATCACGGTCAGTCATGGTTTTCGTTCACTTTCGGCGTCATGCACCACCATGCTGGAACGCTTTGAGGTCGGAAGTCAGAAGTTTCAACTGGGAAAAATCCCAGTTCCGACCGGTCTCGAACGCAGCATAAGGCACACCTGAGCAATATCTTTGATAACATCGTTGAGTTAATTTTGTTCAGTGTATATATATATCTATCAAATAAACAAAATGACATTTTTAAAAATAAAAGAAAGAAAGAAAATTTACCTTCCTCTCTGATAACATCTCAACCAATATTTGACATCCTCGTCTATACAAGTGCAGCATTTATTCCAGGGCTGTTGCACTGTATTGCATTGTACATGTAATATTGTGGTACCATGGCATTTCATTTTACTGTCTGGGACTTGGATTCTGATGCAATTCCACGATTTTGCCACCAGATGATATCACTCACCATTAATAAAGTCGTCACCAAGTGAAACAAGTAGTACATTGTGTCCTTTGTTCATACATACTGTACAGTATAAATTAAGATTTGAAGATAGTTTTATAGGTTTCTGTCTTCCTGCTGAGCACTCTAAATTACAGTAGTTATCCATTTTCCTCTTTAGAACAGACATTTGTTTTAAGCCTTTTTGTTTCCTCTACTTGTGGCACAGCTGGTTCCCATTTATCCTACATGTACTGGCCATCGCCAAGTCCTCACAAATTTTAGTTTCAGAATTACTTTGCTTTCTCCTAAAAACAGGTTTCAGGCTGAGGTAACTGTTGATTTCACAATCACAATCTCTGTTCCCAATGTTTTTTCAACCCAGTGCCTCATGTCTAAGTGATTACACATTAGTTATTTTGCTTTGGGGTGAACGGCACAGCAACTCTTTGTTTTCCAGTTTCTTCCTCGTCGTCTGGCCACCAAAATGCAACTCTCAGTTTTCTTTGTTTTTCATTCAGATTTCCAGCTCAGCTATCTTTGTCTCATATTGTGCTTCTTCAGATGTGCCTTTGTGTGATCATTTCTAAAAGGTAATTTATTCTCATAAACACATACATGTAGCAAAATTCATTCTCTGCTTTTAACCCATCCCTCAAGGGAGCAGTGGGCAGCCACTGTACAGCGCCCGGGGACAACTCCAGATCTGGAGTTGCAGAGGAAATTAAAAGCCCCAACTGACACAACATCACCCTTACCAGTGTGAAAAGTCCCAGACCAAGCACCATGGTAAGATTTTGGAGTGTGTGCTGTAGGTCTTCCAGCACGTCACTGCCCTGCCCGGGCACACAGGCATTGAAGAGGGTGAACGGCAGGCCGTAGAAGTAGCTGAAACCATGCTGGTTCGGATGGTGGCAGTGGTCCCCTCTGTGTTCACAGTTCACACCCAAGTGCCACTTTCCTGCAGAGACAAAGAGGAGAGGACAGGAATGTGAATACTAGTAAGCCTTTCACATTGCAAAATGATTTAATCTCAACATCCTACATACACTTGTTGTTTTAATGGTTAATTTAACACCGGGCCATGGAGTACCTTAAAAATTTGCCTTTTGGCCAGCACTAGCACATTTACAGTGATACCGATGTGCATTGTCCCTGAAAATAAATAAATAATATAAAAATACTTGGATGCCAAGTGTAAACCATGTGGTTTTTGTGTGCTTCCAACACACAGATCCCCATTTTATATTCTTTACAGAAACACTGCACACAGGTGTGTGTAAACATGCAAGTGCCATCCTGTACAACTGATTCAGCTCGACAACTGACTTAAGTGTCCATAAGTGTCTATTTCTGTTGCCTGGTCAGGAGAAATTTCACTATGGAGGTCCAATAAATAAATTATCACATTATGTTAACTCACCCACTAAGCTGGTGGTGTATCCTTGTTGCTGCAGCCTCTTAGCGAAGGTGGTCTCACTGGGTGGCAACCCCCCTGAACCTCCAAGGAACAGCACACCTGTACACGGCCTGTGCTGCCCATTCCTAGTCATACAAGTACAAAAATAAAATGAATAAACACATATGGTGCATGCTGTCAATCACTGCTGTACACATACGACCAGGATGCTCCTACATGTACTGGCTAAGTGAGGTTGAGATTGTCTGTTACCCGAGCGGAGAGCATAGCGCCCAGTCATAAAAGCGGCCCGGCTCGGGGTGCAGAGAGGAGCAGCTGCAATGTGCTGTGTCAACTTTACCCCTTCAGAAGCAAGTCGGTCTATGTTAGGAGTCCTACAGGTGTAAATAGGTAGAACAGAGACATATAGATACTGAAATACATTTACATAACATTTATGTGCAGCCCATCAGAGGGAGACAAGAAACAGAGATATTGACATACCATAGGCTACACATGATGTAATAAAAAGGCTGGAATGGTGATGAAAGACATTGTTAAAAATGAAAATTTTCAGTGAGACAGTAGAGGAAACAGAAGCGTAACACATTTGTTAGGACTGACCTGATGGTATCATTACCGTAGCATCCTATATCACCAATGCCCAGGTCGTCCACCATCATCAGAACAAAGTTGGGCTTCCTCTCCACCTCTGCCCCTGTGACATCACTCCTTGCTTCCAGGAGCAGGGAGAGAAGTACCAACAGGGGGGACCTTAGGGTAAAATATAAATGATTTGGGCTATTTAATTTGACTTTAAAGAAAATAAATAAATAAATAAATCGATGGCCTACTGCTGAAACTTTGGACTCTGTTTTCAACTGTATTCTGACATTTGACCAAAGATTGATTGAAAGAAAACATTAATAATGAAAACTAATTTGCAGCCCTAAAACTATACTACTACCACTACTAAAAATAAAGCTCTTGCATTTTAAAATCTGTTTTTTCACTCCAGTATATGCCTTGCCCACAGAAGTGTCCTGCCTTTTTAGACCGATTTTTCAAGAAATCCCATTAATCTTCAGCAAGGATTCTTAATTTCTTCTTTCTGTCTAGTTTTACAGTTACCCCTCACAAGCGAGGCAACAAGTTGAACTTCCCTTTCACTAGACCCGGCAGTTAAATAACGTTACTACGGCACAAGAAGACTTGGCACAAACGGTATTGAGGAACATTGACCTTTGTCTGGAGCAGGAATGATTGACCTCTCAGAAACTCTGTTAGCCTATGTTGTTTTGACTGATGTGACCGCAGTGTAGGCCTATACAAAACAAATGTTTGTATGTTGATAACTATATTGGGATAACTGTAAGGTCCAAAGTGTGAACACAGATTGCAATAGCTTGAATGGAAAACCGTCGACATCAAATGGACGCGTCAGTTAGTTTTCCTTCTTCATTTGTTGTTCATTCACCTGGTTATACGGTAGTTCCGTCAAAAGACATTGCACGTACTGTTGTTTGAAAAAGGCAAACCTACGATGTAGACTGACTCACCTCATGTCTGCACAATACACTGATTCATCCACATGAATGTTACACGTTTCCTTGTTGCTGCTTCAGCCACTGGACCCGCCTCCCTGACTCTACTGTACTGACTGGCTTGTGAGCGCACAACCACATTCACCTTAATGTGTGGAGTAAATGCGCACGAAACGTTATGCCTTTCAACAGTGGTTCCCAACTTGGGAGATCAGCACCTCTCAAATGATTAAATAGGTAGATAATAGAGATGACTTGACTTAAACCTCTTTGGTACATTAAAAACTTTGAACAAAAGAATCTGAGAAGGAAAAACTGCTCTTTAGGGGAACTCATGATGATGCTGATGGATAGAAGCATGTATTTAAACCTGATGAAAACAGACCCCTTTTTCCAGAAAAAACGCCTAAAATTACAAACCCAAAATTTATCAGGAATAACTCCTCAACCATTTGGCCTAGAATCATAATTCTGGTCTCCTTTGAAAAGTCAGAAGCTAAGGAATATGAATCCATTGTGTATTAATATATTTATTTTACTTTTACAGACTACATGGAGATGCAATAAATAAAAAATCTGAAATTTATAGCCTCGCCTGGTAAAAAAAAGCTATATTTTGATGCAATAAACCATCCTGAGTTAGCTTTTAATGCAACTGAATATCTTCTAATACACCTAGAATGCAATTGTAACTGTAAATCTGATGAAAATAAACTAAAATACAACAGTTATCATACAACATTTTCAAATATACCAGGTGAATTTCCATATTTTGGCAATATTTATTGTTAAAATGCTGACTTTTATTGATAGATATCTTTAAAACACTTTTTCAGTCCATACAACCTATTTCCAAATGACAAAACATTGAAATATTGATAAAAACAGGAGTATTCATCAACATTCCTGTCACCAAAAGCACTCCCATGCTTTACAGGCCTGTAGATTTAGAAAGGAGCATCCCACAGTGATGAGCTTGAGCAGACCTTTCATTTGATATGCATGTCTATATATCTCCAACGGATCGGCCACAAAATGTCAAAAAACACTGTATGCTGCAGGCAGGCAGCTTGCAGGTATTGCGCAATAATCAAGATGGCGCCCGCTTAGACTCGGAGCAACAACATCGGCGGGTTTCGGAGTTAAAACGGCGGAAAAAAAAATGTTTCAATCATTATCATCGCCCAGAGCACCGTCTGCTTTCAAAAGGTTAAACATGCCCTCTTCAGCTATCCTGCTGTATTATATTACATCCATATTTACTGGCTGCATTTGAAGTTGTGTGTTTTATTAAATGTTCAAGGATTCAGTCAAAGGATTTTTACATGTGTAAAAAGTAACAGCTCATTTACTCAAGTAGGGGAGACCGGGTATGGTTGTAACATGGGGAGAGTTGTAACAACACCAGTTCCACCAATTAGAGATAAGATAGGAGTTAGGTGATTATTTGAGTATTTTCCTACCTCCTCCCCAATCAGGCATGGTGGTTATCAAGTTTGGAAACAGGTACATTCAGAATATATAGAGAAAAAACTTATTTTGATGTCAGAAAGTGGATTCTTTGACCATGACGATATTTTGTTTGGTATCTATACTATTGCAGATAAAATTGTTTGACTTAGATTGAAAAGTAGTTTCTTAGGCAACATGTGATGCATTTTTTTCCTTTTTAATTTCAACCCACTATGGTAATACAGCTAGCTAACATTGTCTGACAGGAGTGGGGTGAGTTGTAATGCGGCATGCAGACCAAACGTGAATTTTCTCCTCGCGACGCTTTCCTCGCGTGAGTACATTCGCTGCAAGTGTTCACACACAACGCGAGAAGGCAATTTTAACTACTGAGTGTTCACACGCGATAATGCGAATAAACACAACTTGGCATTACTACAGCTGTATTAACCCAAAGTAAACATTTTGCTGTGTTTAAATAGCAATAAACGGATCAAACTGATGCCGAAATAACTACAACATGATGCAGACTTGTTAAACATATGAATTCATGCTTTGTCAGGTCTGTCAGCAAGACAGCAGGACAACAACTAAAATGTTTGTTTTCTGAATAGATCAATCAGGGCTATTCTATGCTAACTTAAAGTAAAGTACAGTAAAGTACAGTAAAGTACAACAATAGCTGGAATAAAGTTACAGACATGTTTTCTGAACTCACCAGGAAGTTCAAACTCCTCGCTTCCTTTTCTCCAAGTAATGTCCAGCTTTTCTGGTTTTTATATAAATATGAAGTAGTAGTCCAACAGAGTTAACGACACTAACAACAACACTGGAACCGGATGTGCATGGAAACTAGCTGCTGAGAAGCTTGAGTGAAGATAAATCAACGTTGTAATCCCAAAAACTGAAGTAAAAAGCTAATTTATTAAAAGCAGTGTACTCCGAGCTCCTCCCGTGAGAAAACGGCGTAGTTGTCGGAGCAGAATCCAGTCCGACTACGGGTGTTTATTTGTCCAAAACCTGGAACGCTGCTCCCTGCTCCTCTCCCCCAAGTTTAGCAGCTCTCAGTCGGCCATCAGATTTTCATTAGCCCGCTCTTCCAGGCCCTCTCCACACAACGCTCTGAAGCCGTCGGTGACGTAGGGACAATTTCAACGCTGATTGGCTATCGCGGCTCTACGCGTCTTTGCATTGACTTTGTATGTAAACTCACCGCCCTGAACGCTCGCTTCGCTTTTGGTCTGAAAGCACTGTAACACTTCTTTAAACAGTGCTATACATACAACTAGGGATTTACTTGATTTTAATATTTTACAGAGTGATCTTTGCAGTCTGGGCCCACCAAGGCTGACTCCAGGGTTACCAACATTCATTTGTCAGCACTGTGACCTGTACTTCCCATTCACGTTGTTCACATGTTGGCGTGTGTATCGGCACTCTATCTTTTCTATACTCCATCTCCGCCGGTGGAGATGCCAGAGAAGCATATGGGCATGTCAGAAATTCCAGTGCGCATGAAAAGGTCTCGGTACGCCAAAGAGTAAAATATAGAAGTGCTTGGACTACATACCGGTGAGTACCAGCCCACTTTAAGCACTGACTGTGACATTGATTAAGAATATACACACATTGACACACTCAAGCACACACCAGATTTTTGTTAGACCTAAGGATGTACAAAAATGTTATTTAATTAAGTACATTGTAATAGTATTTATTAAGTACATTGTTCAGTAAGTTTATTCTATAGATACATTTATATACACATACTGTACATACACGCAAGTCATCAGACAGTCTTTTACAGTGAGAAACATTGTTCTTTTGTATCACTACCTGTTTTTGAAGCATATCATATAGTGTGGCATCTATTTTTGCTTCTTTTGTCTGATTGTTATAACTTACCCCCAGCATGTGTTACAACCTACCCTGGTATTGGGGTAGGTTGTAACAAGGGAACACGTTGCATTTGACATCAACTCACAAGGTCTGTGATATTCTTGTAGAGGATTGTAGTGATCAAATGTGGGTACTTTGTATAAAATTGTGAACTCTAGTGTTATAGTTGTTGAAGCAAAAAGTGTTACAACCATACACAGTGTCTCCTACTTTACCGAAGCACAATTTGCATGAATTTGTAGTGTACTTCCCTCCACCACATTTTAAAGGGAGATTACTCCACTAAATGTTATTTTGCGATCAAGACTTATGATAAATTGCTCATTACTGTAGTTTACACCACTGACTCCCAACCCTTTTGCCAATTTTGGTACTGATGGCCTCCCATCACATGTTGTCTGTGAGTTGTGGGCAGTTTAACCAAAGAATCATGTTTCCTTCTCATAGTGGGTCTTTTTAATATTTTTTAGAGTTCTGACAATTTAAAACTCTCCAAGAAAAAAGAGCCAGAAAAATGAACACAACTTTATATTACTTTAACATTTTGGTCTTCTTCTTTCTTGTCCATCTTCTTGTGACCCTTCAGATTTATCTTGTGACCCAGACAGGTTTCCTGACCCCCAGGTAGGGGACCACTGGCTTAATTAAACAACCAATAGTACAAGAATAGTAGGTTGACATAGATGCCACTTAGACCTGCTACGACATTAAACTGCAGCTGTCACAGTAAGTCCACAACGTGACACGATTCTATATCCCTTTTACTTGTAATGTAGTATTACAATACACTTGGGAAAATTATCTAAATGCATCTTACACCTCTGGTATTTTTATGAATATGAGTTTATCTCACAGACACCAACAAAGCTGAGTTTAATTATTTCAACCATGAAAGACAAGTTAGCCAGATTGGCTTGATTCAAATTAACTCTGAGTCAATATCAAGTTGTCATAGCTGATTGCAGTGCTGAATTTTATTCGATGATTCACAGTTGATGTGGGCGTGATGACTGGTGGGTATGAAATGAATACAGGCATATGTACAGGAATTTTGTGTTCCCACATTTTACTTTTGAGGGCCTTAGGTGTGTCTTTATGGGCCTGTCACCATTAATCATTCACACAACTGTGAATTTCCTTGTTATAAATTCCTGACATATCGAGCATTTCAGGTCATGTCTTAGGATGCCTGTTTGTTTTTTTTTTCTTTCCAGCAGCTTGTAGGCATTAAAGAAAGTCACAAACAGAGAGAGAGAGAGAGATACAGGCACACGCAGCTGTACACACGTTTATATAAAGGTGTTCAATGAAAAAATAATTTATGTACCACCTCCTGTTCTAAGTTTTTTTAACATTTGAATAAGTTAAATAAGGTAATTTGATTTGTCATATCACAGTAAGAAACACGCACTCACACATACACACACACAAAAGACAAATATATTTGGCAGGGAAATAAAAAAAACAACTCCCACGAAAACGGTTTAATTGACTCAAACATTATTTACACAATTCCAGAACAACACCACAAGTGCCAGATGACAAAAATGAAGAAGACAGTTCCTACACAAAATAAAAACACAGAATATTTAAATAAAAAAAGGAAGAGTCACTAATCTAAATCAAAAATTAATTTTCTTAATTTGTTTAATGAATCAAGATGTATACAGGATAGGAAAGTGCTTCTCCCATAGAGATTGTGTTCTTAAAATCA